TAAGTCGCTCTGGAAAAGAGCGTCTGCTAAATGACTAAAATGTAAATGTAAATTGTTGTATGGTTACTTGGGGAATGTGAACCCATCACCGCCAGAAAAGGTGAGGAATTTATTCTGGTTATGAAAATGAAATAGGAAAAAGATTCCTCTGACTTTATTTTATAAAACGCATAGATGCAATCTTGTTTTAAGCATGTCATCATGTCCCCCATTTGCACAACATCCTCACCTGCCTGCTTGCAACACCATACTTCATCCACTAGGAAATGTGCGTACACCATGGTCTAAGATTTGCGTGTAGATAAGGACATTCTCACGCCATGTTCAGTTTTTATAAATGGCAACTTTTGCGGGAAAACGGCCTCCATGCATGTTTTGGGATATATTTTGTACGTACGCAACGTTTATAAATGAGGCCCCAGATGTTTAATTAAAATCGACATTTCCCTGTGCTACATCCCAGGAGAAAATCTTGGAAAGAATCGCAGCAGTGAAGACAAAAGTGGACGGCTTCCACACCAACATTAACAAGTAGGGCACATTTTCATGCTTTCAAGTAACCTAGGTCATCATACATTTGACGAAATAAATATGATACATGTGACAGTAACTGTTGGTACCTTCAGGTATTTTTCAGAGAGGGGTGATGCGGTGGCTAAAGCTTCCAAGTTAACACATGTGGTGAGAATTGGCATTTGTAGACATTACCAAATTCTGTATTCAACTATGACCTGATGTCTTAACACATCCCTTCTCTTCCTTCCTCATCCCTCCTATTTCTTCTCATCAAGATGGACTACCGCGCTCTGGTCCATGAGAAGGATGAGGCTGTCTACTCTGAGATCAGAGTCATCCTCCTGGACATCCGTGGCTTCTATGTGAGTGACTGATTTAATCTCAAAATGGCACCCTATTTCCTATATAGTGCACTACTTATGACCAGGGCCCTATGGGCTTTGGACAAAAGTAGTGCACTATATAGGAAATAGGGTACCATTTGGGAGAGGCAAGATACTACCACCATATACACTACTACTAGTCTATCAGCATTAATAAGTCAATTCTAATAGTTCGCCTAATTTCAGTTTGTGACAAAATAAGCAATGTATAGAGTAGAGAATCATTGTATTATCTAAACCACTGTGAAATATATTTTCCATAACCAGAAATGTTGTATTTTCAGCTGTTTGAAGCTGGTGTACAAAACCTAGACGCAAAAACGTAACTTAAGAAAGGGAAGCATAGAAATAGAGCACATAGAACATATCTGCTTCTTAGACTTGCTTTTAATGAGCATGAAAGTTCTATAACTCACATTTCTATGTGAATTTGGTAAGGTCTTCCAAAAAGTTACATATTGCAGATTTAACTAAGTAAATCTATAAGTAAACAAGTCAAGGGACATTTCACTCATAAATGAATGTTTGTTAGATGTTTTCAGACCTCAAAAGTAAATGTAATGTCAAGATGAAACCATTTCCCACAACATCGGTTGTGCAGATCCAGCTATAGGCCTCATCCCCTAATGAAAAGATAAAACACCAGTATACAAGACCACTCACTTCATCAATGTTTACATCTGTGTGTGTGTGCTGCAGGCGGAACTGTACGACATCATCAGCAAGAACCTGGAAAAAGTTACCAATCCGAAAGGAGAAGAGAAGCCCTCAATGTACTGAGATGCATGAAAGGAGGAGGAAGTAGCCTGGTCTCAGATCTTGTTGTACTGTTTCCTACTCCATTGCTGACAAGGATTTGGGCATGTTAGCACAGACTGGTACCCAGGTGAGGAAGAGGAATGAGAGAGAGAATAGTGGGGTTGAATTATTTTCTACATTTTAGTCATTTAGCAGACGCTCTTATCCAGAGCCACTTACAGTTTAGTGAGTGCATACATTTTTCATACTGGCCCCCCCGTGGGAAACGAACCCACAACCCTGGCGTTGTAAGCGCCATGCTCTACCAACTGAGCTACAGGGGGACCATGTGATATCTTCCAGGTGTATACTACAATGCCAATCAAAAGTGAAAACTCCATCAGTCCTGTTTGTAAGTCGGCAACAAAGCTGCTTGTATTTGTACATCGGTCACTGTACCCTCTGTCCGGAATTTTTTGCATGCTAATAAACTAATCTTAATATTGAACACTGAACCTAGAGACTAATGATGATTGTAACTCTGGAAGCAATGACTAACAGATGCTCTATTGAAGACTAGAAACAGCATAAGGAACATTGGCTGTGGGCTGTAGATCACCTGCTGGGTATCGATGAACGGCAGTGATTTAACACGTAGACGTGTTGGGGAATAAACAGAGAATGACGTCCGATGTTCTGTGGTGAGAGGAAATAGAACAGCCACCCGCTGCGCACGGCCGAAGTTCGTGATGGTCTGTCTTGTCCTTTAGGAGCTACAAATGATCACACTGGGGGGGGGTTGTTTATTTCCAATCACACTTGATTCTGTGATTTATTTATAACAAAAAAAAAGTACTGTTTCTCACCACGAAAGTACAAACGGGTCACGTTACAACCAACTGTTGCTCTGTACAGTTACCATTATCAAGCTTTCATTAGGAAAAAGCTTTTGTTACAAATATTTTCTCAAAACTAAAACAAAGAACCAAAATAAAACATTATCACAAACTGAGGAGAGTAAGTACTGATAGGAAGGCAAGTATACCACAACATAAAACAATGTTTCAGCAAAACTTTTCTTTTTTTTTCATACTTCAGGCCCTTCACCTCCAGGTATGAGCTAGAAAAGAGAAGGATAGAACAGAATCGGTAGTGACATCAAGCGTTTGACAATCTAGTAAAAAAGGTAAGGAAGCCTTGTCTGAGCCAGAACGGCCCACAGGGCAGGAGCCTATCTCCTGTTTCTGTAGTGTGAGGCAGCTTGATGTACAGAGTACACCCCCTGGGTAGGACGGTGGTCTGTCGCAAGGCACTCCATTTGACAATCCAATAATATTTCTGTAGTACGGTAACTGTCATAATATGCTCACCATGGTGATGTTGTTACCATGGTAACTGTCATAATATGCTCACCATGGTGATGTTGTTACCATGGTAACTGTCATAATATGCTCACCATGGTGATGTTGTTGCCGTTAAGCAGTATCTGGTCCAGTTTGGTGATCCTCCTTCCCTCTGGTGTGATTTCACTAAAACAGACAGTCATCAAGAGGAGAGATTCAACACCTGTCCTACACCAGGCAGCCCCTACTACACCAGGTACCTCTGTAGTCGCTGAACGAATTGGGACAGGTGGAAGCTGTATGGTAGTGGGCTACTGCTATAGCTCCATCTTTAACATCCCAATGGGTTTACTGGATTTTTCAACATACTGCTTATACCCATCTAACCCTTTAAGTTCTCCACAAGTGCATGGGCGGGCTAGCTAGGGTTGGTACCTAGACAGGGCCCAAGAGAGCAATTCATTTAGGCTATCGTTCACTACTTTCGCCCTGGTCGAAAGTAGTGTACTATATTGGGAATAGAGTGCATCCCTATGTATAAGCAGCCCTGTGATTCCCACTCCATGTCGGTGAACTGTAATACTTGGTGTACTTACAATTCTGTCACATCCTCTAGCACCATGTCTGAAGTTGGGTGGGTGAAGGATAACCTGTACATTGACAAAGTAAATGACTACAGTATTGTAGACGTTTGAATTCAATAAAAAAAGACTGGTTTTGTACAATGTACCATAGTACTGCAGGGGGGTGGCCAACCCTCCTCCCGGAGAGTGACTGGGTGTGCAGGCTTTTGCTCCAGTCCTATACAAACACACCCGTTAAAGCTAATCAAGGTTCCGAATGAGCATCAGGTTAACACAAGCAGGTGTGTTGGTTAGATTAGGGCTGGAGAGCAAAATACGAGAGGAGCGTAGATCTCCAAACCCTCCAAGAGGGTTTCCCACAGCTGTACCTGCAGTACAATGAAGGATACATAATGAGATGTTTCGTAGGACATTCCTTTTAAAGGATACTGACAAAATCATCGAAACCCAACAGGGTGCCGACAATTTCTTTGTCGTTCTTCATGACGATATGGATTCGGGAACCTATACATTTGTCCACGAGCTCTGAAAAGAACAAGAACAGATGTTGAAATCACAGACTGCTGGTCCAAGAGATCTACTGGGTGTACATGCTTTTCGTTTCAGGCTTCCCGGCCTTGCAGTAGCCTAACACACACCTTGATTCAGCTAGGTGTAATCATTGTCCAGACGGAAGACCATGACTAACGTATTATTTGATTGAATCAGGTGGGTTAGCGATGGGCTGGAACAGAAGCCTGCACCTGGGACTGCAGGACCTGATTTGGAGAAGCCCTTCCCGCGAGAGTTTGAATTTGGCTAATCTGGTTGGTTGGCTAGCTAGCGTTCTTTCAAAATGTAGTTACCCAACTTAATTTGAAAATATCTAAATGAAAGTCATCTGTTATTAATATAATACAGAATGTTGCTGTAGTAGCGACACTTAAGTCATATCTGTGACATCCTGACCGGCGGGTAAGGTTTGGCTAACTTTTGCTACTTAGCTAGCTAACGTTAGCTAGCTTAGCAATGCGGACATGCTACAACTGCTAGTTTACATGACTCCTGCATTACATATCTACAAAAGGGTATATTTCAATGCAACCCGGCATTGAGCGTTACCGACGTGCTTGTTATCTGTATAATTTGATACACAATATGAATAAAATCACACAAACCGAGAGGGAGCAACTGTGATGGATTTGTAGCTGGAGTGGCTGCCATGTTTAGTTTGAAAAAGGCGGAAGTAATCGATCGAGCAATCAACCAAAAAAGAATCAGACTGAAGTAATCAAACACATATTTTTATCGTGTCAAAGCGCTGAGGTCGTTTTTATTATGATTATGATCAATTAATATGTACAGGGAATAATACATTCACTGATTTGATGCAGTCCAAACAGAACAGAAAACGGGATTATAGATTCGGTGGTGGATAAAACAATCATAAAAGAGTCATGCCCAAGCGGTGGCGCTTCATTTTGAGTGACGTAATCCCACTACTGGAACAGACGAAGCGGAAGAGAAAATCAAGTGCGTTGATTGTGTAACTGCGGACGTCGATTCCAGGAACACCAAGAGCAGCGCCCGTTCATTTCAACCCTGTTTACATTGGACTCTCAAGTGAAAAACAGCACATAACTGCCCGAACATCGGGGGCCATGGAGTTGCATGGCAAAGAGGAACTCAAAGGACCCGTGTTGCATATCGTGGTAGTCGGATTTCACCACAAGAAAGGCTGTCAGGTACGTCAAACTTGTGAGGCATGCTAACTAGGTAGCCTGGGCAGTGGAGATCCATAAAGCACACTAGCGGCTGCCCAGGCAACTAAATAGGCTCTTTGCGCCAGTTTTCTATTAGCAGAATGCACTGGAGAGTGGAGAGGTGCTCCTACTAGGAGGCTACACGACGTGTCAAGCGGAGCATTGGGTAATGGCTGGGGGTGTGAGTGAATGAGCTAGCTTCCCCTTCAGAGAAATTAGACATTGAAGTCTCTTGCGTTCTATATCATATATTAGTGTGAACATACCACGTTTTGCCCACTAGATGGCGATGTTCCTGCTACTGCCACCGCACTATTTTATTCATTTTGCTGGTCTCTTGTGTTTATTAAATGGATCATTGGACATTTTCTTTGCATCTTTGGGTAGAAAACCAATAGCTTTTGCTCATGATGAAAATAAAGTGTGTGGTCATCCTCCATAATTCAAGCCAGTCCTCCATGAAAGCTAGTCAGTTTGTCCTTCTCTTAGGCTTAATTGTGTCCAGGAAACAGCACCTCTGTGTGTGGTTTATTCCCTAAAAAAAAAAAAGTCTGGATTATTTATACCGTTCCTGGCAATTGGTGAACAAGCAAACCATTAGGCTACAGCGGTTCTAATGGTTTCAATGTTGTGGTCTCTATTGATGGTAAAAGTCCCAAACACACACTGCATAGTGTTTTGCAATGGTATGGTATTGGGTTGGGTTTAATGGTAAATGTCACTAATCACACTACATACGACTGCCGTGCAATGGTTTATAAGTGTATAATTTGAGTAGTCGCTCTGGATAAGAGCGTCTGCTAAATGACGTAAATGTACATCAGGGTTGTCACAACATTTTAGTCACTAAGCCCATTTCTCCATCAAGGTTTTGAGCTTGTAGGAAAAGTCTCAATATGAGTCTTAATTTCTCAGAGATGAAATTATATTTCAAGAAAATAATGTTTCAGGAATGCTAATCTTATCTGTTTTCAAACTACATAAATGATTTCAGAACTATCTGAGATGGTGGGGTGACGAAATCCTCTTTTGTCGTGCTTTTTGAAGTGGAATGACTCTGTTGTTCTGTTCAAACCCACCAGTTGGTTGACAGACAAACACTACTGCCTGGAAGTCATTGATCACTTGTTTATAAAAGAGCACAGATGGGGCAGGCCAGCAGGGTATTCTTTGCTCAGCGTCTTTGTTGCATAACACAGTTGTAAACAATTAGGGGACCAACTCGTTGGTTTACCTGGAATTATTGTAAGTGCATGGTCATGCTATATTGTGAAGAACTGCAATCAATGTCAAGTACTGAAATGCTATAATAAGTATTAATGTGCTCTTGACCAGAGGTTTTATTTCAGCCTGCCTATACTCCCTCAGCCCTGTGACTGTTAAAGAACGTATCATCGAAAGAGATCTATACGCGCAGTCACTGCCTGCAATGTCGTTGTCACTGTGATTTTTTTTTGGTTTCAGGGATTAGCCTAAAGTTTAGTGAGTCGTTGACAAATGAATGAGAGCTTGACAGACACGATGGACTAGAAAGTTCACAAAAAGGGTAGTGTTTACGCCTGGTAATTAACCCAGTGAAAGGCTGTGTGGGTGTGGGTGTGTGTGTGTGTGTGTGTGTTTCCATGCAGAAAGAGTCCACCTGCTCCTTCAGTCAGGAAATGAACAGGGACAAGATAATTATTATTGCAATAAACTGGAGATGTTATCTACAGAGCTTCTGAAGAGGACAGTAGTCCTGGGGAGATTCACCGCACATGTTTTCAACAAACACAATTTTCCCAAAGGCCTTGTATGTTCACACACATGAGCCTTTATAAACAGCAGGTCTTAGGCTAGGGCTTTTTCTGCTTCCACAACCACAGACTGGACTAATTATTATTCTTCAATTCCATTTGTATTAGGCTCTGCTAGTTTCTATTCCTAAAACTATGTCTTAAGTCATTTCTAAGTACCCTTCCCTTCATGACCCATAGAGCCAGCATTCCGTGCCAAGCGTAGGCCGAAAATATTTTTGGTATCTCAGATTGTTCTGGAAATTCTCACCTAGGAACTTCATTGGGAGGAAGGATGTTTGACATGCTTTTTACATTTGTATCACACATTTTGTTAATGTTGAATATCATGATGAAAGTGGCCATTTAAGGCCCTTTTTAGACCTATACATGCATTTACATTTACATTTACGTCATTTAGCAGATGCTCTTATCCAGAGCGACTTACAAATTGGTGCATTCACCTTATAGCCAGTGGGATAACCACTTTACAAACATGCCTCCTGTAAGATCCTATGATCTGTGAAACATCTTGATGTCATTATACTTCTCATAGTGTGCTCTAACATATGGAGTATGTCTAAATTCTAAAATGCAATTTTTCACATTCATTTATTAAACATTAAGCATATTAATATGAATATCTCAAAATAACCCTTTTTGATTTAGTTCATTTTAAGACATTGATTGGAACAATATAGACTAATCTACAAGTACATTGAATTTCCAGAGTGTGCTCTGCTAATTCTGAAGGTATGATACATTTTTATGAGCACCACCAACACAGTGAATGGGAAAATGGATTCAAAGGGAACTCCCTCTGCTGGTGATTTGCTGAATGTGCAATCCTAAAGGAGAGCTGTGATTGGTTAATTACCTATAATGTTAATTTCTATGTATAAAATAGGTCATATCATAAAAAGTACCAGAGCACCCACTCTGGATATTGGATGTGTTTGAAGAGTAGCACCTATATTGTTACAAACAATATGTCTAAAATTAAGCAAAATCAAAAACGGTACTTTTGAGATATTAATATTTTTTATGTTGAATAAATGAATGTGCATTTTTTACATCTGGATATACTCCATATGATAGAGCACACTATGAGGAATATAATGACAACAAGATGTTGCATGTATCATGTACGGTTTACAGGAAGCATGAAGGCCTATAGGTCTACAAATGGCCTAAAAATGCCCACTTTCATTATGGTTTTCTCAAATGGTTTGTCATACAAATGTAAAAACCATGTCAAACATTCTTCCTACCATGAAGTTTACTATGTGTGAGAATTGCCAGAACAATCCGAGATACCAAAAATATTTTCATCCTATGCTGCCGTGGAATCGGCCTAATACAGCGGTTCCAAAAACTAGGGGCCGCCTGATATGAAAATGGGGTCGCGGGAGAACTTCCTAAAGCCTCGTAAAAAAAAAATATATATATATACACACAGTATCAGTCAAAAGTTTGGACACACCTACTCATTCCAGGGTTTTTCTTTATTTTTACTATTTTCTACATTGTAGAATAACAGTGAAGATATCAAAACTATGAAATAACACATATGGAATCATGTAGTAACCAAAAAAGTGTTAAACAAGTCAAAATATATTTGAGATTCGTCAAAGTAGGCACCCTTTGCCTTGATGACAGCTATGCACACGCTTGGCATTCTCTCAACCAGCTTCATGAGGTAGTCACCTGGAATGCATTTCAATTAACAGGTGTGCCTTGTTAAAAGTTAATTTGTGGAATTTCTTTCCTTCTTAATGCGTTTGAGACAATCAGTTGTGCTGTGACAAGGTAGGGGTGGTATACAGAAGATAGCCCTATTTGGTAAAAGACCAAGTCCATATCATGGCAAGAACAGCTCCAATAAGCAAAGAGAATTGACAGTCCATCAAGACATGAAGGTCAGTCAATGCAGAACATTTCAAGAACTTTGAAAGTATCTTCAAGTGCAGTCGCAAAAACCATCAAGCGCTATGATGAAACTGGCTCTCATGAGGACCGCCGCAGGAAAGGAAGACCCAGAGTTACCTCTGCTGCAGAGGATAAGTTCATTAGAGTTACCAGCCTCAGAAATTGCAGCCCAAATAAGTACTTCACAGAGTTCAAGTAACAGACACATCTCAACATCAACTGTTCAGAGGAGACTGCGTGAATCAGGCCTTCATGGTCGAATTGCTGCAATGAAACCACTACTAAAGGATTCCAATAAGAAGAAGAGACTTGCTTGGGCCAAGAAACACGAGCAATGGACATCAGACCGGTGGAAATGTGTCCTTTGGTCTGATAAGTCCAAATTTGAGATTTTTGGTTCTAACCGCTGTGTCTTTGTGAGACGTGGTGTGGGTGAACGGATGATCTCCGCATGTGTGGTTCCCACCGTGAAGCATGTCAAGTGTTGGTCCCATGCTTCATGAGCTGAAATAAAAGATTCCAGACATTTTCTATACGCACAAAAAATGTATTTCTCTCAAATTATGTGCACAAATTTGTTTACATCCCTGTTAGTGAGCATTTCTCATTTGTCAAGATAATCCATCCACCTGACAGGTGTGGCATATCAAGAAGCTGATTAAACAGCACGATCATTACACAGGTGCATGTTGTGCTGGGGAAATAAAAGGCCACTCTAAAATGTGCAGTTTTGTCACACAACACAATGTCACAGATGTCTCATGTTTTGAGGGAGTGTGCAATTGACATGCTGACCGCAGGAATGTCCACCAGAGCTGTTGCCAGGGAATTCAATGTTAATTTCTCTACCATAAGCCGCCTCCAACGTCGTTTTAGAGAATTTATCAGTACGTCCAACCGGCCTATTGTTGCAATGTATTCTCCCATATCTGGGCTGCATGCCAAAATACACCCTATTCCCCATGTAGTCCTTAGCATTGGTCAAAAGCAGTGCACTACATAGGGAATAGGGTGCCAATACGGACGCATACCCAGTTATGTTATTGCCTTTGATGAACCGCAAAAATATTGTTTGTTCTAGCCTACAGTTTTCACAAATCAATCTTGCACCAATGGAATGTATTTCGCTAATGTAGCCTGTCAGTAAATAATTGTTAACAAACGATGTTTGGCTTTTCTCCTTCAGTGGCAGGCGTCTTGTTTAACTAGGTTGTGAACAGCTGACTACAATACAGGACCTTGAACATGTTCAGTTATCCAGAGGCTGCTGTGACTCATAGTCACATGATGATCAGACCAGAGTGAATAGCCCTCTTCATATGTGCTGCTGTTATGCATGTTGTCCTGACTGTACACTCCCTCATGTTCTCCTGACTGTGTGATCTCTTATTTTCTCTAATTTAAAGCCCCAGGAATAAAATAAAATATGAAATAAGGACTAGCTGAATAAAGACCGACTTGGTTTTAGTTGAGTCAATTTAGCTACTCCCTGCTAAGTCAATCTGATCCACGCCTAAGATAGATAGCATTTTAGTTGTGTGTATGTGTGTGTGGGTTAGCAGGATGGGTAGTGGGTAGTGGTTTCTAGGTGCTGACATCTGCAGTGTTTTCTCAGGTGGAATACTCCTACCCTCCCCTCATCCCTGATGAGGGCCATGACAGCAACAACCTGCCAGAGGAGTGGAAGTACCTGCCTTTCCTTGCCCTGCCTGACGGGGCACACAACTACCAAGAAGGTACATAAAACCCTGACCCCTGACCTTTACCCTGACATTAACCTTAACCCTGCCTGACGGGGCACACAACTACCAAGAAGGTACATAAAACCCTGACCCCTGACCTTTACCCTGACATTAACCTTAACCCTGCCTGACGGGGCACACAACTACCAAGAAGGTACATAAAACCCTGACCCCTGACCTTTACCCTGACATTAACCTTAACCCTGCCTGACGGGGCACACAACTACCAAGAAGGTACATAGAGTCTGCATGCCAAATGGCACACTATTTCCTTTATAGTGCACTACCTTTGACCGGGGCCCAGAGGGTGCAATTTGGGACACATCCAGACACTTCCTATTTTTTTCTCTCTCTTCTCTCTCATCTCTCCCCATCTCTCTCCCATCTCTCTCCCATCTCCCATCTCTCTCCCATCTCTCTCATCTCTCCCATATGTTACTACACTGCTCCTGATAGTTTCAATAATGCGTCTACTGCCACATTCCCCCCTCTCTTCGCCCCTGTGAGACGTCTCAGACACCTTTCCTGGTCAAATAAATTAAGTACATTTAAAAAAAGAAAAAGAAGATCTCTGCTGATGATGAGTCATCATTACCTCTGTGGAAAAATGTACTACTTCTCTTTGTCATCATGTTTGGCGCTACTGACCTGGTCCTGTTGTTGAGCTGTAGATAGGGAGGGAGTGGACTCGATTCACAGTGTTATTTTGGAACACACCCATTTCCTTTCAAGTGGATATGTAACAGATAGGCCTAGTAAGATGAGAAAGCTGAAGAATATTATAGATTAAAAGTATTGTGTTTTATACATGTGTACAGTGGGGAAAAAAAGTATTTAGTCAGCCACCAATTGTGCAAGTTCTCCCACTTAAAAAGATGAGAGAGGCCTGTAATTTTCATCATAGGTACACGTCAACTATGACAGACAAAATGAGAAAAAAAAATCCAGAAAATCACATTGTAGGATTTTTAATGAATTTATTGGCATATGATGGTGGAAAATAAGTATTTGGTCAATAACAAAAGTTTCTCAATACTTTGTTATATACCCTTTGTTGGCAATGACACAGGTCAAACGTTTTCTGTAAGTCTTCACAAGGTTTTCACACACTGTTGCTGGTATTTTGGACCATTCCTCCATGCAGATCTCCTCTAGAGCAGTGATGTTTTGGGGCTGTCGCTGGGCAACACAGACTTTCAACTCCCTCCAAAGATTTTCTATGGGGTTGAGATCTGGAGACTGGCTAGGCCACTCCAGGACCTTGAAATGCTTCTTACGAAGCCACTCCTTCGTTGCCCGGGCGGTGTGTTTGGGATCATTGTCATGCTGAAAGACCCAGCCACGTTTCATCTTCAATGCCCTTGCTGATGGAAGGAGGGTTTCACTCAAAATCTCACGATACATGGCCCCATTCATTCTTTCCTTTACACGGATCAGTCGTCCTGGTCCCTTTGCAGAAAAACAGCCCCAAAGCATGATGTTTCCAACCCCATGCTTCACAGTAGGTATGGTGTTCTTTGGATGCAACTCAGCATTCTTTGTCCTCCAAACATGACGAGTTGAGTTTTTACCAAAAAGTTATATTTTGGTTTCATCTGACCATATGACATTCTCCCAATCCTCTTCTGGATCATCCAAATGCACTTCAGACGGGCCTGGACATGTACTGGCTTAAGCAGGGGGACACGTCTGCACTGCAGGATTTGAGTCCCTGGCGGCGTAGTGTGTTACTGATGGTTGGCTTTGTTACTTTGGTCCCAGCTCTCTGCAGGTCATTCACTAGGTCCCCCCGTGTGGTTCTGGGATTTTTGCTCACCGTTCTTGTGATCATTTTGACCCCACGGGGTGAGATCTTGCGTGGAGCCCCAGATCGAGGGAGATTATCAGTGGTCTTGTATGTCTTCCATTTCCTAATAATTGCTCCCACAGTTGATTTCTTCAAACCAAGCTGCTTACCTATTGCAGATTCAGTCTTCCCAGCCTGGTGCAGGTCTACAATTTTGTTTTTGGTGTCCTTTGACAGCTCTTTGGTCTTGGCCATTGTGAAGTTTGGAGTGTGACTGTTTGAGGTTGTGGACAGGTGTCTTTTATACTGATAACAAGTTCAAACAGGTGCCATTAATACAGGTAACGAGTGGAGGACAGAGGAGCCTCTTAAAGAAGAAGTTACAGGTCTGTGAGAGCCAGAAATCTTGCTTGTTTGTAGGTGACCAAATACTTATTTTCCACCATAATTTGCAAATAAATTCATTAAAAATCCTACAATGGGATTTTCTGGATTTTTTTTTCTCAATTTGTCTGTCATAGTTGACGTGTACCTATGATGAAAATTACAGGCCTCTCTCATCTTTTTAAGTGGGAGAACTTGCACAATTGGTGGCTGACTAAATACTTTTTTCCCCCACTGTATTAATAAAAAAGTATTAGTCTAACTACACTGGTATTTTTCAATCTGGGTACAAGTCCTCACCGATTCCATATTTCACACTGTAGGCCCTGTAGTGTCTGTGGGGGTTCACTGGCTGCTTGTTTGCCGGATGCATAAACCTCGGTGACGCAGTACATTTTGATTAGGGAGTGATTCACTGCAGTGCAGTCGGGCTATAAAAGCAACAACAACGTGAGACCGAGTCATGCACGGGATGGCAGAGTTCATGGGAGCAGAGCAGAGCAGAGGGTAGTGCTGCTGAGGACGGGGAGCTCGTAGGCTTCTGCTGTGGCTCTTCATATGTCCTTGGCTGTGCTGTTGCTCTGGTCCAGGTCGTTACATGCGGCTTGCTGACGCTAAAGGCTCAGGCTCAGCAAGCCGCATGTAACGACCTGGACCAGAGCTAGCTGTACTGTACCAACCAGTCTGGCTGCCCTGGCCCGACCTGTCTGTCTACTAAATGGCCTTGGTTGTAGCCACAGAGATGTGTCCCTTGGTTGCAGTCACAGAGATGTCCTTGGTTGCAGTCACAGAGATGTCCTTGGTTGCAGTCACAGAGATGTGTCCCTTGGTTGCAGTCACAGAGATGTCCTTGGTTGCAGTCACAGAGATGTCCTTGGTTGCAGTCACAGAGATGTCCTTGGTTGCAGTCACAGAGATGTCCTTGGTTGCAGTCACAGAGACGTGTCCTTGGTTGCAGTCACAGAGATGTGTCCTTGGTTGCAGTCACAGAGATGTCCTTGGTGGCAGTCACAGAGATGTCCTTGGTTGCAGTCACAGAGGTGTGTCCTTGGTTGCAGTCACAGAGATGTGTCCTTGGTTGCAGTCACAGAGATGTGTCCTTGGTTGCAGTCTGTGTCACTGACTGTAGCCCTGAGAGAGAGGATGCCTTAGAAAACCACTCAGTCGCTCACTGTCAACATGGCCATTGGCCTCCTGATCCAAATCCAACCCCACCTTCTCTGATCAAATTGAATGACATTTCCACAGCTCGTTGTATTTGTCCACATGATCCATTATAGATGCAGTCTACTGGAAACAAGGGGCCGCTTCCTCCTCTATAATGTTATCATCTTCCCTCTTCTTGTTGTTGTTGTTGGTACCAAAAACCTCATTACGCCTCAATCTCACCGACCAGCGTCGTTGCATTAGCCTTACGTAACTGAAATAACTGTCAAATGCTTGGAATCACATGCTCATTCTTCCAACTCATCAGTTTATTGAAGAATGATCATGTGATTCCAAGCATTTGGCAGTTATTTCAGTTACGTGAGGCTAATGATGTTTTAGTGCTAATTACAACAACAGAGGGACGATGATGAGTTGTTTTCAGGCATCTTTAGTTGCTACAACAACAGATGCTCACTTTTTAATATGTAATTCATCAGCTAATTGCGTTGTTGTTTGGCTAATTAACTAACGATCATGTTCATACAGATCTCAGATTAGAGAGATGTAATTCAGCTAGGCTTCACGTAACAGATGTTGCATGTAATTACATTTTTAACGTTTTGACGTTTTAGTCATTTAGCAGACGCTCTTATCTGGCGCGACTTAGTCAGTGCTTTCATCTTAAGTTTAGTAAGGGGAAACCACCACATATTATTTACATTTACGTAATTTAGCAGATGCTCTTATCCAGAGCGACTTACAAATAGGTGCATTCACCTTATAGCCAGTGGGATCACCACTTCACAATGTTTTTTTTTTTGGGGTAAGGGGGGGGGTAGAAGGATTACTTTATCCTATCCCAGGTATTCCTTAAAGAGGTGGGGTTTCAAATGTCTCCGGAAGGTGGTGAGTGACTCCGCTGTCCTGGCGTCGTGAGGGAGCTTGTTCCACCATTGGGGTGCCAGAGCAGCGAACAGTTTTGACTGGGCTGAGCGGCAACTATGCTTCCGCAGAGGTAGGGGAGCCAGCAGGCCAGAGGTGGATGAACGCAGTGCCCTCGTTTGGGTGTAGGGACTGATCTGGAGCCTGAAGGTACGGAGGTGCCGTTCCCGTTATCACAGTCATTGCAGGTGGACCATTCTTCAAAATGGCTGCTAATAACGTGATTTGATGTTTTGTTTTTCAGACACCGTTTTCTTCCACCTCCCCCCTCTTACTGGAGTAGATATGAAGTGTGTGTACGGAGTCTCCTGCTATCGCCAAATAGAAGCTAAGGTTGGTTCCACCTCGTGGCTCTTTAATATTTGTGTCTTTGGCTACTTTCCAGAAAACAAAGTGAGTATTGTCTCTACTAGCTGATCTACAGAGGACCACTGTACCACAGAGTAGTCTCTACTAGCTGATCTACAGAGGACCACTGTACCACAGAGTAGTCTCTACTAGCTGATCTACAGAGGACCACTGTACCACAGAGTAGTCTCTACTAGCTGATCTACAGAGGACCACTGTACCACAGAGTAGTCTCTACTATCTGATCTACAGAGGACCACTGTACCACAGAGTAGTCTCTACTAGCTGATCTACAGAGGACCACTGTACCACAGAGTAGTCTCTACTATCTGATCTACAGAGGACCACTGTACCACAGAGTAGTCTCTACTATCTGATCTACAGAGGACCACTGTACCACAGAGTAGTCTCTACTATCTGATCTACAGAGGACCACTGTACCACAGAGTAGTCTCTCAACTATCTGATCTACAGAGGACCACTGTACCACAGAGTAGTCTCTACTATCTGATCTACAGAGGACCACTGTACCACAGAGTAGTCTCTCTCTACTATCTGATCTACAGAGGACCACTGTACCACAGAGTAGTCTCTACTATCTGATCTACAG